CCCGAACTTTCTGAAGGCCCTATCTACATCCAGAAGCGCCAGGTGTTGATTTTGGTGGGCTGTCCATTTCCCTTTCACCGGTTCTTAAGGGCACCACACCTGGCCCGCTAGCTCCGCCTCCACCAGCTCTCAGAGCACCCCACAGCTCCCCTCCCCAGCACGTTTCCGGGTTGTAATAATCTGACATTTATTTCTGTGATCCTCTGATGAATGTTTTCCATCCCTATCGGTGTTTAAACTGCGCCGAGGGTAGCGGGGGACAGGTTTCTTTCTGTCCTCAGAGCTTAGCTGGTGATTGCTAAATAACGCGTTCAGTGTAAGCAGTAAATGTTGACACGTTTTGAATAAATGACGCGCACGTGGCAGGTTTGTCCACCCTTGTCTGGAGAAGCAGTCCGCGAAGCGGGCCGAGGGCGCGCGCTCCCGGCAGCTCCGAGGCCCGAGGCTCGGCCGGGCTCCGCCCGTCTCCCGGCCCCGCGGCGCTCCAGGGGACCGAGGGAGGGGCCGCCCTGTCACAGGTGCACCGGCGGCGGGAGAGCGTCCCCTCCTTGGGGGCCGCTGGGCATCTCCGCGACGCTGCGGTCCTCCGCGGCCCGCACGACGCCCGGAACGTGGGCGGGTAGCGATGGCGGGTGAAAAGAAGCAACCTCAGGATCATTACCGTTAGCGGTGGAAACAGCGCCTAACGACGACGACAACCGAGAGCAGACCTCCTTCACTTCCGCCCCGACGCCCCACGCCCCGGAAATCCGGCTGCCCCGCGTCACGTGACCGCGCGCCGTCGTCGCGCCGGCGCTAGCGGCCGCGGGGGGCGGTGCGCCGAGAGCGGCCCAGGGGCTCTGGGCGTGGCTTTCATCCCTGGGAAAGGGCCCGTGGACTCCGACGGGAGGTGGAGATGGCGGCAACCGCGGGGGAAGATGGCGCCTGTGGCCAAGATCAAGGGCGCCGGGGCTGCAAACATTATGACAGAGGATGTCTCTTGAAGGTGACGGCGTCGGTGGGCTCTTCCGCGGAGCGCTTCCGCCGGGCCGGGCGGGGCGGATCGGAGCGGGCCAGGTGGCGAGGCTTGGCTCTAACTTTGAGTCCAGGTGGTTAGGGTACTTTCTCACTCTCCTCCACCTTAAGCTGGATCCCTGTAGTAGCAAACCTCTTTGGCAAGGCGGCCGTCGGCCCCACGTTTCCTCCCTGCTTTAAATTTTACAAGCAAAACCTAGTTTTGCTTGGGAAGATGCTGAAGAAATCCCAGGCCTCTGCTGGGCTACTTCGAACCCAGAAACATCGCCAGGTGTCTGATGAAATACTGGAAAGGGAATAGCCGAGTGGAGGATCCTACTAGGTCAGCTTCTTGAGTAAATACATTTTGCCGACTGCCAGCCTCATTTTAGTCGTGGCGGCTGCCTGAACACGCGGAGAAATTAGGAAGACAAACATATAATTAGCATTAACTAGGGAGTTTAGTATACGAGAGTGCCTGGCACACACAAGGAAATTAATCGATGGTATTGTTACAGTCTAGAATTCTTAAAACTGGCACACATCCAATGGAAGTTTTCTGATCTTTTTCTTGCAAGAGGCAGTGCACAGATTTTGCCTTGAAGTTTGAGATGTGGAGAGCCTTATAGCCCCATTCCCAAAGCTTCACTCTGCCCCTTATTAGCTGAGATGTAGAACAAGATCTCGGTGTGGATAGGGATGATAGATGGTTCAGCTTCCTAAGAAAGCTATGGGAATTAAATGCTACCGGGCATATATATGTATTGGTTAATAGTGGTAGTGGCCCTATCATGACTGGTTAGGAGAAACTAGAACTAGGGTTTCCAAAGTGGTTATCTTTACAGAAGGCGATTGCTACATCTTTAACCCTCTGAGCTGCTGATCTTGTGGTTAGCAGGCGAGTGCTTAAGTGCTCACGCACCACCATTTCCCCCTGGAGTGAGCAAGTATGTGTGATCGTTGTCCATGATTTTGAAATGTCTTTAGTATCGTACATCACCCATCATACTTGTTGGTCACTGACCAAAGCCATTGGGAGGAAATGGTCGTTTCAGGCCTACAAGAACAACTTCAGACATTTTTTTTGTCCTGCAGGCCTTGCGCTCCTCCACGGTAGTGGACAAAGTGCTTTCAAAGTTGGTCATTCACATCATTCACCAAGTGTGTGATGAGATTACAGTGCTATCCCTGTGATTCCATTTCTGCCGAGATGTTCTGTTATTATTTCAAACTTGAAGCCGAAAACTGAATTCAACAATTTTTATATATTAACCTCCCACCAAGTTCTCTCATTAGAAACCACACCACTAGATCTGTATTTTATAGTGCTCCATGTCAAATATTTTTTCTGCCCTTCTCTACAACTTCCTTAAATGCCAGAGGGGAGTGATCAGCCACATCAAATCCATCTGGTTGAACTTTGAATTTGGCAAGGAGGATGTTACTGGTGATTTTGCCCAGTGGAGACACAGGGCAGTGCCTAATTGGAGGGATTCAAGAGAAAAATAGAACCTTGGAGTGGTGCTTTTTGACAGTTTTTGGAGTTTCGCCGAAAAGGAAAGCAAAAATAATGAGGCTGTGGTTTCTGAGAGGTGTGGGCTCCAGGATTCTTTTTGACAGATGGAGATGTTACAGCATTTCTGTGTGCTGCTGAGGATGATCCAGTTATGTGAGAACACCTGGTAGTGCAGGTGGGCGAGGGGAAAGCTGTAGGGCTGGGGAAGAAATCAGGCACCAGTGGGGAGTTGGCGGCAGAAGCAGTAGACCATAAGATTCTTTGTAACAGTGGAGGCGGATCATGAGGTACAACTGCAAGTAGCGTTTGCAGGAGGCTGTGCAGATGCTCTCTCGGTTTCTTGCAGCATGCTAGGAGGAGGGCCCAGGTGGTGGTAGAGATTTGAAGAGACGGGAAGCCGTGAAATACTGACTGGTTCAGTTCTAAACTAGTGAGGATGCTGGTAGGAAGGGCCCTCATTTTATTACTTGCCACGGCATCCAGGTGAGACCGGTTTGGATGCTGGTGCCTTTTTCTCTAGCCTTATTCAGCGGGGTCTGGGCCGGGGTAGAGTTAAGAGAGAGTTGCATTTACTGACATTAGGGGTTTGGCTGGGTGAGCACCTAGAAGTGATAGAGAAGTAGGGTGCCTGCCAGGGGAGCATTGGCTGAGCACGAAGGAAGGGAAGGGAGTTGGAGCAGGTCGTGTCTGACAGCCAGGTCACAGAGAAGGTGCAGCTCTTGTTCTGGCGCAGCTCTTCCCCAGGTGTGCTGCATGGACTCCTGGGGTGTGTGTGTGTCTTAGGCTTTGTTTCAGAGACTCCCGGTTGTCAAAGTATCTCCGTGCTGATAGTCAGATAGTACAGTATTTGTCTTTTGTAATGCGTTGCCATTTGCATGGATGGTGCAAAAGACAGTGAGTGAAACACCTTAACACGAATCAAGGCAAGGGTCGTGGATGAAGCCCTACATTTATGAATTTTTCAAAAGGTGAATACCTACATATCTTTTTAATATTTGATGAAATGGGAAGTTTATGTCAACTGAACTGTTTGTCTTCGGGGAAAGCACTGATGCAGTGGAGCTGGGAGCTCAGCTCGTCAGTTTTTTCATCGAACTTTTTTTTTTCTGGGGACAACTGTGACTGTGGAATTGGATATTTAACAGATACTGTCTTGAAAGGAAGGAAATGAGATTTAGTTGAAGGATAATAGTCGACAGTACTTGTTATTAGTAATAAAATTGGTGCTTCTTTCCTCCAGACTTAGAATTTTGGACAATTTGTTTAGTTATTTAGTTATTGTGAAAACATCTCAGCACCAAAGGCTTCCTTGGTGATATGATTGACGACCTTACTTATGTGATTTTTCGATGTTATAAGTTAAAATGTGTGACTATTTGGAAGATCTGTATACCATGCTTTCCCCACATTTAAGAGCCACATAGATAATGTGCACATGCCTGTAGCCCATGTAGCATACGTAGGAAGCTAATGTGCAAGGGGTTGCACTTTGCAATACCCAGCCCCCCCCCCCCAATAAACCAAGCATACTATCTAGTACACATATCAATTGGGGAAAAAATGAAGTAACTCAGTGAATCAGTATCTTCCCAAAGACTAATGAATGGGTTAAAGATTAATGTAGAGTGCAAGCTATTCCAGTAGATTTACTGTGAAAACTCATTGATCTGATTTCAGATTCCATGCTGCAGTTAATCTGTAGACAACTACCACTTACTGCGTTTTGGTCCAGTAGCAGAGAATATCCATAATTATCAGAAAAGGCTGTTAAAAATATTCCTCCCTTTTCACCTACATTTTTGTGTAAGACCAGAGTTTCTTCCCATACTCTAACCAGAACAACAACTTATTCTGATTGCAGCAGTAGATAGGAAAATCCAGCGTGGTTGGGAGGGGACATAAAATTATTTTTCATTAATTTGTGTTATTTGTAGTTTTGTTATTTTAAGCAGAATATAACAAATGTTTTAAAAATCAATTATAATTGATAACTTGGTAAATACTAGTAAATGTAATCCACATAAACAGGAGGTATGTGAGCCTTATTTTTAAGCGTATATAGGGCTATTCTTCCTGATATGATTGAATTATTGTATGAAATGTGGATTATGTGTCAATAAAACTTAAAAAAAACCAACCAAACTATGGCAAGCCTCCCCCCCAAGTATATAGGGGCTTGAGACCAATATAGTTGAGAATCATTGTTCTTTGTATGATTATGAGTATGTGGTTGAGGGTTGAAGCACAAGTCCATTGGAAGTGAGAAAGTGAAAGAATTGAGAGTTTATGGTATTGGAAGATTTACCAGTTGGCTGTGCAGATCACCGAATTAAGGTACGAGTAAGGGTAGAGACAGGCAGCCAGTTGTTAAATATTAAAATCTTAGAGGAATGAACTATGTACGTTATGGTAAGTTATTAGCAGAGCAAAATGGAGTAGAATTGCAAGGCTACAATGTACTAGAAAGCACTAGCGTAGAAATCTTGATGTGCTAGCTGAGGCAAAGTAAGTTGCTGTAAGGAACCCTGGTGGGACCGAGGCCAGGTAAACACTTCAGATGTTTGAAAGGTAGGTGGTTCAACCCATGAGACCTAGTTGTCTGCTCATGTAGATTACAGCTCACTGTTGTTAGGCCCCATCAGGTCAACTCTGACCCGCAGTGACCCTGTGAACAACAGACTGAAACACTGCACGGTCCTGGGCCATCCTCACAATCGTTCCTACGCTTGAGCCCACTGCTGCAGCCACTGTTGCTTCCTCTCCCCACCGCCCCTCCTCGTCACCAAGCATGATGTCCTTCTCCAGGGCCTGAGCTCTCCTGACAACGTGTCCGAAATACACAAGACAAAGTCTCATTCTCTTGCCTTGAAGGAGCACTCTGACCTCACTTCTTCCAAAATAGATCAGCTTGTTCTTTAAGCAGTCCATGGTACTTTCGAAGTTCTTCTCCAGCACCACAATCCAAATGCATCCATTCTTCTACAGTCTTCCTGGTTCAATGTCCAGATCACAGTTTAGGAAACCCTATTAGGTAGTCCTCTGTCCTATAGTTGGAACTGACTTGATAGCACACACTAAGAAGTCACTGTAATGAAAAGAACCAATAATAGAATGTGTCTTTAAAAATAATAATTTGTTTCTTTACACTTAATTTCTAAGTGAGCTGTCCAACATGGTGATGAGGCACTGTTACATCCACATGGTCACTCTACCAAAGTCAAACTCACTGCCATCCAGTCAGTCAGTCCCTCGGGGGTTTCTGAGACTGTGACTGTTTACGGGAGTAGTAAGCCCAGTCTTTTTCTCTTGGAGCTGCTGTAGTTTTGAACTGCCGAACATGGAGTTCACAGCCCAATGCGTAACCCCCACACCACCAGGACTCTACATAGGCACTTTAGGGACACGTTATTTCTATTGTATTATTTTGCCATGTTTTAAAGCAGCGGTTCTCAACCTGTGGGGGAGTGAATGACCCTTTCACAGGAGTCACCTGATTCATAACAGTAGCAAAATTATAGTTATGAAGTAGCAACAAATAATTTTATGGTGGGGGTGGGGTCACCACAACAATATGAGGAACTGTATTTAAGGGTCGCTGCATTAGGAAGGTCGAGAACCAGTTTTAAAGTTTAGGATCCAACCAAGGTGGCTTGCTGCCATTGGTAGTTTTTGTTTGATGGGAAGAGGAGAGCGCGTGGAAGAGCAGGCCTGCCCAGTGTTTTAGGCAGAGGCACGCAGGATAGCAGCTTCTAGTCTGGGGATCAGAACTTGAGGAGTTCAGGCACTAAGATGTCGCTGGGCATTCACATACGCAGGGAGAAGATGAGATTTTGTCAAGTGAGGGCTGTAGCTTACACTTACTGTGCCCTCTACAGGCATGTAGTTGATGTTTAATAAGTGCTTCCCACGAAAAACAATCCATTGCCACCGAGTCAAGACCAACTCATAGCCACTCTCGGGGCAGAGTAGAACTTACCCACAGAGCTTCCAAGGCTGCGATCTTTACCAAGGAAGACGTTTACACTTTTCCTTCAGTGAACTGGCCTGGTGGTTTTACACTGCATACCTTTTGATTAACATGTGAGCATTTCCAACCACTGTGCCACCAGGGCCCCTTTAACAAACAATCGTAATCATTTTGAATGTTTAGGAACTTAAATATGCAGTGCATTTATCTAGCAATGTCCAAGGACTGAGAAGAGGATTAGTGTGTTGTGATAGGTCAGGGAGTAGGCTAGAGGCTTTCATCTTTCATAGTCTTTTGTCTTTAAGGACAAGGCGCTCACCTCCTCCAGCCACATGGATGTTGAAGGGAATGGTCATTGTCAGACTCTGCCATGGAACACAGAAATGCTACATTTCAGATCAGTTTCCCAACTGGTCCATGGGTTGTGTTCTAGGAGTGGGAGGAGGCAGGGATTTTCTTTTGGCATCACCAGATTGTCATCTCTCTTCTAATAGCCTTTTTCTCCCCTGTGGGGTAGGCACCCTGCTGTGACAAGCTGTACACTTGCCGGTTGTGTCACGATAGCAACGAAGACCACCAGCTAGACCGCTTTCAAGTGAAGGAAGTGCAGTGCATGAACTGCGAAAAAATTCAACATGTAAGACTTTTTGACACTTTGATTCTTTACTAAAATGGCCTGAAAAAAAATTTAACCAAGGTTTGCACGTAAAGACCTTTGTAACTCTTAGAGTCTTTGATTTTGATATTTTGACATTTAAAAATTTAACACAAATAACATTTCATGTTGTAGAACAAAATTCTTTATAATTTAAAATGTTTGGGTTAGTTTACTTCTGTTTGTATCACGTGTCTCTTTGTAGGCCCAGCAGACTTGTGAGGAATGTAGCACCTTGTTTGGAGAATATTATTGCGATATATGCCATCTGTTTGACAAAGACAAGAAGCAGTATCATTGTGAAAGCTGTGGAATTTGTAGGTACTGTATGTAAAATGTTCTTTGATAAAAAAATCGCTTCTAGTATGTCTGCAATAATAATTTCTAATGTCAAATTGATTAAAAATGAACGTAAATTTAGTAGAATTCATTTATTTTAGGTGCCCAGTTTGATTAATTTTGCTGCATATATGCATATATATGAGCAGGTCTGGGGGTATGGTGGGCTACAAGTTAGGTGACACTGCAGTGTCAGCCAGGCAAACCGACCAGCCTGTCTGAGGAAGAGAGATGAGCCACCTGCACCGGTAAAAATTTTACTACCTGGGAAACCTTACGTAGGTTCACTCTGAGTTGGAATCAACTTGATAGCAGTGGTGTTTTAGGTGTGGCTATACATCTGTGTCGCCACCACCGTGATCAAGATAGAGAACGTTTCCATTATCAGAAGATGTTTTTTCATAACTCTCCCTCCTTCTTTTGCAATATTCATTTAATTTGCAAATCTGTCATGTAGTTATTTTTATTTTAATTTGAGATATCAAATGCATTTTTAAGTGACATGTTTTATAGACCTCTGAAGTAGAAACTTGGAATAGAGGTTTCCTTTTGAAGAAAAAAAAATCAAAGGTTTTTCGTTTTTAATTTCCAAAAACTAAAATCTAATTTTATAAAATTGGAAAGTGCAGAAAGGTAGAAAGAATAAAAATAAAACACCCATTGTGGTGAGATTATTACTTTTACTTCATTGTTTTTCCCTTTCTCCAGAATTTTGGTTTTTCACGTCCTTAGCTGCTCTTCATTGTTTTCAAATGCCTTGTTTTCTGTATATGCAAAGTTTTTAGTTTTCTATGAGAACTCCAGTTCTGTACAGGCTGTTCTGTCATTGTGGAAACGAAACTCACAATATAGCTCTATTTTTGCTTATTAGACATTTTCTTTAAAAAAGGAAGGAAAGGAGACCATCACTTCAGGGACTGTAGTTGACTGTGTTTGTTGCCCGGGACCAAATCTGAGCTTCGACCTCAAGCATAGAATTTTGGAGAACTTATGAGCTGGAAAACTTTTCCCATTTAAATGCTTTCCTGATGAGAATGAGTAGTGATATTAGTGAATATGATGATTTAAATGTTTTTCCCCCTGTAGTCTTCCAGGGCACTTACCTTCTGTGATGAATAGCAGAAGTAAAAGAATAATGAAAGAATACAATTTTCATTTTATTTTACTTTAGTTATAGAATTTATATTTCATCTCTCGATAGCTTTCTATTCTCAGGTGAAATTCTTCAGTTTTTCTTTTCTTGAACATATTAATCACATATTTAAACAGTGCGGAGTCTTGGCTGGTTGTGGGTCTGTTGTTTTCTGTGTTTCCCCTGGTGTTTGTTTGGTTCTTTGATTCTGCCATCTGGCATGTGTGACATATTAAAATCTGATTACTGTGTAGAATATGTAAAAAGCTGTGTTAACTTGTAGATGCTCCTATCTTTCTCCAAAAAGAATGTCCTTTTGCTAGGCAGTCAACCTAGAGACATCATCACCTAATTCAATTAATGATAGAGGTGATTGATTAGAGGACAAGTTTCAGCTTTTTGGTTCAGTTTTCCTGGTTTGCTTTCCCTTACTCAAGGGTTTGACTGGGAGCCAGGACTGCTGACCAGAGCATTTCTTTCATGGTGGGACGTGGACTCCAGCTCTTGCTTCCGTGCCACGGGGAGGTTGTAGTCTGGTGGTACCCTACCACTTGTCAGCTGGCACCTGTCAGTTGGTAGAACTGCGGTTATCTTGTGTGTTAACTATAATGCTAGAAGCTATACGGCCATTACTTTAAATACTAGCAGGGTCAGCCATGGTCCACAGATAACAGTGAAGCTTCGTGGCTGAAACAGCAGTAAGACTGTCTCACAATGTCCTTGGTGTAGATATAGACTGCAAAACCCTGGTAGGAGGAGTCCTGGTGGCACTGTTGGGTAAGCATTGGGTTGCTAATGACTGGGTGGGGGTCCAAACTATTAGCTTTGATGAGACCATCTGCTCCATGAAGTCT